TTATGAATCATTTCTTTTGTGATCTTATTTTTTTAATCAAGCACAATACTGTTGTTTTGATGCTCATATTGTTGAACAACAAAATGTTCAAGCTTCAACGAAATTCTCTTGATGTTCAACTCCAAAAGCAATCCAAAACCCATCTTCTTTACACAATTTTCTGAGACATACTTAAACTTCTTATAACTTCAATCATAGCTACGGGATTCATTCTAGTATTTATTGAAGGAAGATCTTTTAATAATTTTTTGTTGTTTTTTGTATCTTTTTCTCGATGTTATCATTTGTATTGTCTAACTTCCTTTTTTTTATTTTTTTCTTCAGAATGCACTTTTTGTTGCCCTATTGTTCAATGGATTTTCTGAATAAATAATATTAGAAAAAGATCATAACATCATAAAAGTAGAATAGAAAATTAACACTTTAGAATATTCTAATAGAATAACATCTATGTGAATATGTCTACTATGTTTCAGAAACCAATGAATGTTGAGACATCAATATAATTAATAACATAAGTCAAAGTCAAACACCAACTTTGACAACTTCAGAAAATCCAGCAACATTCCATAATTATAGTAAGTTTACTTTAATTGTTGTATGTAATAGAAAAATACTTACATTTATTTCAAAATTATATTCTAACTTATTATAATACTTACACCAGGTAATTGTCACCTAATTTCAACTTTCGACAAGGTATAAGTCAAAAAATTCTAAAAATCTCTGAAACCAGCCATTTTTGAAACAGGGGTAAAATCGTCAATACATTGCATCAGGGAAAAATCGATCAAATTGATTATATGGAAACTTTCTTCCAAACTTTAATTATCATGACTTATGTACCTAATCGCATAATTAAGTCCAAACTGTTAGTGACTAGGGTTAGGCAAAAACCCATTAGGGTTTAACTAACATGTTATTAGGTAACACAAAAATCTCCAATTAAAACCATGTAAAATGTTTAATTTTACTATAATTGTTGATATACCTTTTTTTTTTTTGGCATTCGTTGTTTTATTGGCTGATTCATAGATAAGCTTCAATGATTTTCTTCTTTCAATTAGACGTTCAGCTATTGAAGTTTTTCATGAGTTTTACCCATATCCAACCTTCTTGTTGTATATTGGCATTTTCAGAATCATATTATATTTAATAATTGATTTATCATGTCCAAATATATAGAGTAACATTTAAAAATATTCTATTATAATAACGCACCAAATTAAATTAATATTTAAAAATATTCTATTAGAATAAGATTAATAGAATATAGAAAAATAGTAATAGAATATAGAATATTTTATTGTAATACATAGAATAACAGAAACAAATGATATAAATATTTTATTACAATACATAAAATACACTATATATCATTTATTCTTTTATATTCTATTATAATACATAGAATAGTTTATTATAATACATAGAATAACAGAAACAAAATTAGATTAATATTTAAAAATATTCTATTAAAATAAGATTAATAGAATATAGAATAACAATAATAGAATATATAATATTTTATTATAATACATAGAATAACATAAACAAATGAGATAAATATTTTATTGGAATAGAATAACTGATGATGTACATTTTTTTTCTTTTTCTTTTCATGTTGTAGCTGTTAATTCATCGATCGACTTTGATGATTTTCTTTTTTGAACCAACCGTTTTCCTGTTGAAGTTTCAACTTCAGTACTTCTACCCAGTGTCATCATTTATATTTTTGATTTTGTCATTCTTGTATAATATTAGCTACATGAAAATAATTAATGTTAAATAACCTTTAATAGTTGTCTGTAATAGAAAAACACTTACATTTATTTCAAAATTATATTCTAACTCATCATAATACTTACACCAGGAGATTGTCACCTAATTTCAACTTTCAACAAGGTATAAGTCAAAAATTATAAAAATCTCTCAACTCAGGCATTTTTGAAACAAGGGTAAAATATTCCCATTAATAAGATCATAATACTTACTCCTGCTGGTTTGATTCATAAACTAGATTTATTAATAGAAGCCTAATTTGATGTTATTTTCTCCATTTTCTCTTGCTTCTTGAAGGTATGGTGTATCTTGCATCTTATTTCATTTTGTTTCACCTATTTTACTTTATGATCCTAATAATGGGACTCACTAAGATACAAGAGTCCAATGCCCCAATTATTAGTATGTAGATATGGAGATTGGAGCAACAATAAAAGGTCAATTCTCGAAGCAACATCGTCGTTTTCAAACGGAAACAAGGATATAAAATGATAATTAACAGAACTATTGAAATGTCTGTAATTTCTTGAGAAGTTTTGGTAATAATGTCATTTAGATGATCTGATGGTGTAGATTCTAAAGCACATGTTGATGTAGCCATTATCGTTGATAGAAATACTCGATAAGAATGAAATTAAGTAAGTATAGGGTTTTATCGAGGGATTAAAGACCAGAATATGAATCAAAAAGTTTAAAATCGATATGACAATGCTTTTAGGGTTTTTATCGATGTTTTCAAGTGAAAATTGGATTCACAACATCGAAAAATGAAATCGATCCAAGGAGAAATCGAAGATGACAAGCTCAAGAGCATAAGAAGTTAGGGTTTTGATGGAGTGTTTAAAAACGAGAATGATAAGAAGTTTGGAAGAGGGTTTTGAGAATACAAATGAAGAAATTGAGTTTTTTTTTATTTTAATGTTCTTCCCTCGTGAATAAGTCGTAATCTCAAAGTTATTACACTTGTCCCTTTTTTTGTTCCTGGAAAATAAGTCTTAGTATTTTTAGTTCCTTTAAATTTAAAAACTTACACTCTGGTTCAAATATTATTTTAATTGTAAAATAAAATTACTTAATTACATATATTCTAAAATAAAATTACTTAATTATAAATATTCATAAACAAATATGTTCATTTACTCTGAAATTGTACTTCTACTAATAGAGACAATGTACTTTTTTTGTTTTTTTCTAAAGTAAGATGTCCTGAAATATACTAAAATTTTATGATCCTAATTTTTAATTATTGTAACAGGATACTAAATCTGATTTCATTTATTCTTTTTATTAAAATATTCTAAAACAAAACTACATATTATATTAAAGTTAGATAATAAAACGTTTTATTATTGAGTATTTTAATGAAACCAGAATAATCAGAATAATTTACATAAAACAAATTAGAATAAGCTTAATACAATATTAACAATATGTGTTTTTATTTATCAACATTATTGTATAAGAATAATAAACATGTATGGATTTTAATCATTTGTCATTTTACTAAACAATTTTTTAATCAAATAATTAGGCATCATCAAACAAAAATTTTAAATGCTATATATCATTTACTATTAAGCAGTAAATATTTCATCAAGATGCCAACTAACTGGTTTAAGCATATCATTTACGAAAATATCAATGGTTTAAGCATATCCTCAAACATAAGTATTTTTAAAAAATACAATAGAAAATATATTGTCTATATGTAATAAGCCAATATAAGAAAATTTCAAACTTTTTTCATTTCCAGCATTTATCTTGCTTCACTCCCTTCTTTCACCAACATACACCTACTTTTCTTATCGAGTTTTGAAAATTCCAATGCTTCTGAAACATTCAATTTTTTCTGCTTGTTAATTTGATGGTTTGCTAGCTTAGCAACATAAAATGTACGCAACTTTGCAATCTTCTTAGATTTCCTAACACTTTCTTCTTCCAGTTCCACATCCCACTTTTCTTCTTTCGCACCCATGTATTTTTCCATGCGCCTCATCAAAAAAAATATCATCATCATTTGTCTTAGCTTTTGTTTGCCATGCCATTTTTATTTTCTTTGGATTCACAATTTTAAACAAAGAAACTTTATACTGCCGATTGTTGTCCAAAATTTTTGAAAACTACATTTGCTGCAATGTATATTAATAAAATACCAATATTTTTCTAAAATTATAACTATATTAAGTAAATAAATCTTATAGGAATATAAATATTATATTTTATGTTATAATCATAATTGATTTACTTATACAGAGTGGTTTTTTAAAGTAAACAATTATGATTAAAATAAAAAATTTAGAATTATGCAAGAAACAATTACCACAAGTTTAGGAATCTCTCCGTACATATCTTCTACTTTTTTGGTGTATCTTATGCTATCAATGATTATATTTTCTGGATTTGTAAGGTTGAAAAGAAGACAATAAAAATGACCACGGTTGTGTATTGGAAAAAACACTTGTAGTTCAAACATAAATACATATGAATTTTATAAATTTTAATATGAATATGTTTTCTTGTAATCAAAAATACATACCAGATTAATAGAATTGAAATCCACTTTTATTTTAATGTCATATAAGTAATTGTTTACAGCCTCATCAAAAAAGTCGGAATCTTTCGACAAAAAGTATTGAAAAATCCAATAATTTTTCTGTCTATGCATATAGAACAATAGAAATATTAGAATACCTTGTCATAAATTATAATTAGAATATAGAAGTAAATTTAAAAATTAAGTACCATAATTTGAGTGTTGAAGAAGACACATGGAGGTGATTTTTTGTTTTTTGAGGTTTTCTTCTTCAAAATTAAGAACAACAGCCCAATAATCAATAACGAAAGGATGTATCTTATGATTTGGACGCATACCCTCAAAATGCACCCTATCCATTATGTCTCCAGACTCGATTTCAAATAGCATTTGCCTTCACAGAAAAATATTGCATTGTAGTTAAAATATATTATTTAACTAAAACTAATGTCAATTAATTAGAATAATATTTCTTTGAATAGTGTTACAATATTCAAATAAGAATATTACACAATACTTAAATTTATAAAAGTATTCATTCAAGAATATGCATATATAATAAAAAAATTTACTAAACATTGTGAATTTACTTACATTGGATCTTTGTCTCCAACACATCTAAACATTATTTGCACCATTATCTCTTGCCCAGTACTGACTTTTTCAGTTAAGTCAATTACACTATTCACATAAGGTGATCTAAAATATCTGAATTAGTCACCTTCCTTTTCCCTCTTTCATTCACATTCCGAACGTTTTTCCCTTTCTCATCTAAAATATGTTCTTCATTCCCTTCTAACTCTCCGTCTTCATCATTACCCTCAGAATTATCACCAGTTTCTACATCGTTCATTAGTTGGGTTATTTGAAGATCAAAGGAAGGAAATTATGAATTTTCAAATGTTAGTTTTTTTGTAATAGGAGATTTGACATCTAGATTTGGAATTGTATTTGAATCTAGATTTCTGTTTAAGAATATTCTAAACAAATCCTCATCTAACTTTTCTATGAATGTATCAGACCAAGGGGAAAATCAATATATATACCTTTTGGATCATGTTTTGGTGTAACAATTGAGCTGTCACCTATGTTGTCTCCAACCACCTTCTCTACAATATTCCCCTCCCTAATCTTCTCCCCACCAATCATTTCACCACCCTCAACATGATTTTTGCTCTCAACATTCTCTTCTAAATTCTTCTTTCCAATAGTTTCATCCATATTATTCACCTCTAAAGCCAAATTTATTTTGTCATCAACATTTATGCCTTCAAATTCTATTTGTCTTTCTGGATTATGCGGATGTCTAATAGCTTCCTCGTCAATATTATTATCTAAACCCAAATTTATTGGGTCGTCGACATTCATATCTTGATCTTCTTTTTGTCTTTCTTCATTATCTGGAAACTTTTGTTGTAATGGTTTAACAGTTAAAAATGAAACCAACTTTGTATTCATTCCTTCATCTTTATCATCATCAAAATCAGAAATGTTTGTTTTATTAAGTTCTTCATCTCTAACTGATTTGACTTCAGTTCTCTCCTTCATAATTTTTGATTTCTCTCAACTAGAAAAAAGTCTAGTTGAAAATATGTCTCTAAACTTCCTTATCATCTCCTTTGTTCTATTGTCTTCAGGGAATTTCGATTGACAATGAAAAATAATAACTTCCATATTATCGTTTTCTGTTGATACATTGTTAAAAATTTGTTCATACTTTTATTCATACTCCTGTGAAAAAAAAGACATTAGAATATTTTTCAAATATTAAGTTAGGACATAATTAAAATATATTCTAAAACACAATTTATTAATATATTCTACTTAGAATATACCTCAATACGTGTGTCGTGATTCTCATTCTTATCACCTTTTAAATTTGAAATTTGTTCAATTAGATTTCAAACCCTAAATCCACCGGCTTCAATCTCAAAAGATTTTCTTTCCTTCAACTTATCTGCTGTCCACATCGTAACTAATGGTGTTTTACGTTCTATTTTTTTGGAGATTGCATTCAATTTCATCACAGTAGATTAGCTGCATTATTCAACATCATATTTGATATCCATTTTTAATAATATATATATATATATATATATATATATATATATATATATATATATATATATATATATATATATATATATATGTGAAAAAACATACCAATAGCAACAACATTGGGCCTTTATAATAACATTTGGGGTTGTTTGGACGCTATCTCCCTTTTGAATTTTTCACACTGTACAACAAATACGCACACCAATCGATTTTAGAAATGTCATCTACTTCAACAAGTGCTCTAACTGAAACTAAGTTGTTTGTCTCCATAGGAATGGATTCTGCAAACGTATTAACAAATAAAGCTATGAAACCCAGCTAGAAATTCATATCCACTTGTTCAGACTTTTGAATAATTTGCTTGTAGTTTGTTGCATGTGCCTTTCCACCTTCAAGTTGCTTCATCCATCAATCAAAGACTTGATGATCTCCGCTAACCATGTCCAAGTCAAATAAGCTTTTTTTCAGTTTTGGGTAAACCAAACAATTTGTGAATTTTTTCCTTTGTTATCTTTATTATTTTTCCTTTAATCAGAATACTGTTTGTACCTTCGTCATAATGCTCAAGCACAAAATAAAAAAGTTTAAGGGAATACTCTTAATGTTGATGTTCAAAAATGTTGTAAATCCCATCCGCTTCACTTAATCTTTTTGTTCTGATGTCAAAGAACTTACAGTATTTGTCATCAATCCAGGTGTCGATCTAATGTTTATTGAAGGCAACTCCTTCAATATATCTTTCATAGTCTTTTGCTCTTTCACGGTTTTTTGCTTTTTTATTGCTGCACGATTGTCTCCACCATTCCTCGTTCTTTTTGCTTCTTTAATGTTTGTCACTCCTTTAACATATTTTGTATCACCGGTTCTCTTTTTTTACATAGATTTCTTCATCAGATTCGTCATCTAATTCAATACATCAGTCATAAATGTTAGTAACACCACAAAAATCCAAAAATCATATATCATCTAATTACAGAGTAATATTCCAACAGAATATTATACATATACACTTATTATATCAAAATATTTTATGAAAGTTAATCGAAAAAAATACTATATCACCTAACTAAAATGTAGATATTTATTCAAATTATATTATTTATACAAAATTAAACTCAAATGTTGCAAAATCCTATATCAGCTAAATAAAACAACAAAAATCAAGTATTATATGATTTATGATATAATAATATATAGAATGTGTAATATGAACCATAAACATTTCATATCATAGAAACATATTTTTCACATCAATAAACACTAGAAAAATATTTTCACATCAAATTACCTAAAATTTCAGTTATGATCCATAAGCAATTCATGTCAAACATAGGCTATGAAAATTATTGTTAGAAACACTCTAATATTTCTATTGTTCCATAATATTGGTGTAACATCGTAAATTTCCAAAACAATTATTCGCATTTATAAAAACCTAATTCATTTGTAAATCATAAAAACATCATTGTGTGATACTCAATTTATAACATATAAAAAATCCCAAGATCTCGTATCATAAGAATCCCGTGTGTGTACTGATCAAGTCGACGCCTTCCCGCGATCCTCACTAGTACCTGAAACACATAACACAAAACACTGTAAGCACAAATCTTTGTGAGTTCCCCAAAATACCACATATAACACATATTAGCCACTCGAGGCTATAACTATGTGGGTCCATGCACCAAAAACTCTGTGAACCCTCAGGTTCTAACTCTGCAAGCATGCACAACATAAATCACATAGAAGAATGCAATGCAACAAACAATATATATAAAACACTGTATCACATAACTCTATTTACCTACTCAAGGTAAAGTATAGTGAGAAGACTCACCTCGCGTAGCTCAGTAACTCGTAAATCCCTGAAATCACTAGTGCTCAATCTCCCGAGCTATAGTCCTCTTATAACACAATACATCTCTAATTAACACTTTCCCAACTAAGGTTGACTAACCCTATTAACTCAACACTTGTCAACTCTGGTCAATGGTCAACGATCAACCCAACTCACCGAGTCTGGTGTGGACTCGCCGAGTCTTTATGGGGACCCGATTCCTCTAAGTCCCTTCCGACTCACCGAGTCACTCACCCAACTCGGTTACTCAACCCCTGGTTCGAAATCCCTGAACAATCTGCACCAATTCGTCGAGTTTGCCAATGGACTCGGCTAGTGAATTCTATGCACAACCCCAAACAACCTTCTAAGGTCAGATTTGTTCCACTAACTCATAGATCCAGTCCTTCCAAGCTTATTTATCACGTAAAGTTCATGTCTTGGCACTTATATCACACCTAATGACTCATAAATGGTGTTTTGACCTCAAGCACAAAGATCCCAAACCAAAACCTCCATGGATTCATAAAAATCTTGGATAAAAGGACACTCTGGATCTCCAAGGGTCCAAATCCAGAACCTAACTCGCTTAAGGGACCAAGGAGCACTAGATCTAGCCACAAAAGGGCTCAATAAGCCCTAAATCAGCATGAACATCACCTCAACAGAAAAGGGTTCGAAAATGGTACCTCAAACGTGATGTTCTGGACCTCAGATCTTCAGGAAGTTAACCCTCTTGCTTCCTCTTGGCTATAGCTTCCTTTCCCTTGCTAGACAATACCACCAAGGTTAACAATGGCTCCTTCTCTCACTCCAAAGCTCAAGCTCACTAGGGTTTCGCTCTGGGGACTGGTGAGCACAAATGATGGCCATAAGGCCCTTTAAATACGCCCCAAACCCGAGAAATTAGGGTTTCATTAAATAGCGCGGACTCACCGAGTCCACCTATGCGACTTGTCGAGTCCGGTCATTAATCAGGATGAGAAATCGCGATTCTACTCGGCGAGTCTATGCACCAACTCGCCGAGTTCCTCCACAAAACTCAAAATAAAATGAATAAATATAATACCTGAAATTCTAGATGTTACAATTCTCCCTCACTTGAATCTAACTTCTCCCTAGAAGTCTCATCCCTGAAATAGCTCCGGATGATGTTCCTGCATCTCACGTTCTGGCTCCCAGGTCAACTCGAATCCTTTCCGGTGTTGCCACTGAACCTGTACCAGAGGCACCTCCTTGTTCCTCAGAACCTTAATCTTCCGATCCACAATCGCAACTGGTCTCTCCACATAGTTTAGGCTCGTTCTCCCTGAATGTCCTCTAGCGGCACTACGCTGACTTGTCGGCTATACACTTCCTCAACTGATACACGTGGAAGGTATTATGAATCTGCTCAAACTCCGCAGGTAGCTCCAAGCGATACGCTACCCTATCCACCCTCGCGATTACTCTGAATGGCCTGATAAATCGGGTCCCTAGCTTGCCCCTCTTCCTGAATCGAATCACTCCTTTCTAAGGAGATACCTTCAGGAGAACATAGTCACCGACCTGGAACTTAAGCTCGGATCGTTGCCTATCCGCATAACTCTTCTGGCGGCTCTGAGCGGTTAGCAATCTCTGTCTGACCTACTGTATCTGCTCTTTCGTCTGTATCACAATCTCTGTACTTCCCATCACACGCTGCTCTACTTCTCCCCAACAAATAGGGGTCCGACACCTCCTCCCATGCAACAGCTCAAAGGGCGGCATACCAATGCTCGAATGATGGCTGTTGTTGTAGGAAAACTCCGCTAGGGGAAAATACATGTCCCAGCTTTCACCGAAATCTAGCACAGATGCTCGAAGCATGTCCTCGAGCGTCTGAATCGTCCGCTCACTCTGTCCGTCAGTCTGCGGGTGGTATGCGGTACTAAAATGCAACCTCGTACCCAACTCCTCATGGAATTTCTTCCAAAATCTAGAAGTGAAACGCACATCTCGATCTGAAACAATCATGATTGGCACCCCATGTCGCGATACCACCTCTCTCATGTACAATTCTGCCAACCTCTCAGCAGAAGAGCTCTCACTGATGGCAAGGAAGTGAGCGCTCTTCGTCAACTTGTCCACAATCACCCAAATTGCATCAAAACCCCTAGCAGTCCCCGGCAACTTGGTGATAAAATCCATGGTGATCTGTTCCCACTTCCACTCGGGAACCTCCAATGGCTGCAACTTGCCATGCGGACAGTGGTGCTCAGCCTTAACCTTGCGACAGGTTAAGCACCTCTCAACGAACCATGCTACATCTCTCTTCACACACGGCCACCAATACTCCTTTTTAAGATCTAGAAACATCTTACTGGCTCCGGCATCTCGATTTATGTGCCTCCTCCATCAAGATGGTACGCGTTCCTCCAACAAACGATACCTAAATCCGACCCTGGAATGTCATAAGCCATCTTCTATCGGTCACGAACTCTGTCACCTGCCCGATAACTCGCTCTATTTTGCGGTTCTCCGGTCTCACTGCCTCAACCTGAGCCCTTCTGATGGTGTCCAATACCGGAGTCATTACTGTCAATCTCATACAAATATCCCGAATCGAGGCGCTCTCTGCTCTACGACTCAGGGCGTCAGCTACCACATTAGCCTTGCCCGGGTGGTACATGAT